TGTGGCTTAAAACGGGACATTTTCTACACAGTCCTGCAATGAAGTTGATACTTGTAAATAATGTAAGCTTACTTTGGTTTGCAGCTTAGTACGTTCAAAACAATGGCGTCAGTTCATTACTTAGCAGTATTTGGGGAAAAAAATCAGCCTCATTTACATGTGTTGTAGATTGGCTGAGGACAACAAGCTCTATTCATATTCAGTGAGATGTGCAATATTGATTTAAATCGATATTGCACTTGCTTGCAAACCATCTACTGACTGGGGCAGTGATGGCAAATGCACACTGACTGTATTTAATTGCTCTTGGAAAAAAAATTTCAAAACCTATCAGGAAATGTGTCGGACTAAAATTTTACAAAAATTGAACTGTTTTGTTTGATTATTTAGTGGTGCATGAGGATACGCCCCACGCTACAGGGAACTGGCGGATAAAATCAAAGCCGATGTCCCTGCAGCAAATGTGGCTGGTCATGTCGGCCGCAGATGTAAGTTTGTGATTGTTTTTCTTGTTGTACATGCTTATTTAAACCATCCACACCAAGGGTAGTTAAGCGATTGGTTATTAAATATTAAAAACCTGCAGAGGGTTAAGGGAAAATAGGGTTAATAATTCTACACATTTTTGTGTTTTACCACAGCCTCATTTGAAGTCACAGTGAATGGGAAATTGATTTTCTCCAAGCTTTCACAAGGAAGTTTTCCTTCCTTTAAAGAGGTTGGTATACAAGTAGATTTAAGAGATAATAATGGGTTGCCACTGTTCAGGAAATGGTCAGAGAAAGAAAATTCTTCAAGGTCAGGGAAATTTATTTTTATCAAGGAAAAGTTAGGGAATATTTAGGGAATTTTGAAAAATGATGTCTGTGGCAACCATGTGTTTATACAAATAAAATCTCAATTTTTTGGACACCAATTAATAAAATTAGCCTGTTATAAGTAAACTGCATAATACATGTACATGTCTATGTATACATTGCATTACACTGTTTGCCTTGCATGGTTATAAATATAATGTTCTTTACTGTTTTGCTTTACAATTCATACTTTTTCATCTCAAATAGGTCGTCAGTGTGGTACGTGAGTGCAGCCAAGGAAAAGACACACGTGAAGTGAAGGAGAAAGAAGAATCCGAATGTATTTTGCTTTAAAATGCATCATGCCAGTCCAACTACTGCAAATTTTACGGCACATTATTTATTGCTTTTATTATAAATTTAAAACAAAATAATCATTTCATAGCATTTTGCAGAGGGCCTGCCTATTTCAAGCTCTCAATGAGTAAAGAACAAGCCAAAATCTGATGAGGCACAAAAAGGAGCATGCTCTTCCCTCAAGGGATTACATGTCATTACTGTCCTGCAGCTTGCTTTGTTCTTCAATCACACATGTGGCCTTAATTAACCTACACAATAATGCAGGCATCTGTTCTGGTGCTACTCTCTTAACACCCAAGCGAGATTCATCTGTACATGTACATCTGTATGCTGTATCTTAGACCAGAGCCAAGTGTTATTGAGCATGTGCACTATGCATACACATAGATATCTTTGTCGTGGCTATGATGAGTTGTTTGCTTGCAAATTATTACACAGATTGCTGTAGTGTCTCTTACAAAGGGTTGAGAAACTGGTTCCCAGACTTTTCAGGTACCTACAAATTATGCATTGTATGTTTTTTTAATGTCAGCACACACAAGGGGACTGGTCCCTACGACTAGTCCCTGTAACAAGTCGCAGGGACAAGTCCCATGATGTGAACTGGCCATTTTTGCCACAAAACTAGTCACAGGGACTAAAATTTGGTCCCTATGACCAGTCCCACGAATTCAAACTGGTTTGAATTTTTGGGACAAGTCCATGCGACTTGTTCCTCTAAATGCTCCGTGTGAACTGTTCGTGGGACAAGTCCCTGGGACCAGTCCCTTCGTGTAAACTCTTCAGGGGACTAGTTGCAGGGACTGGTCGCAGGGACCAGTCCCCTTGTGTGCCAACCTTTAGATGCCAAGAAGAATGGAACAGGCTCAATTCATTCAGCACTTCCAATGTTTGTTTTTAAATTTTGGTAGCAAGGCCTTCTTAGGTCAGTGAATGAGCACATGTTGACAAGCAAGTTTTGCAATAAATTTTAGTGTCGCACGTTATTATTTAATTGTATTTAGCAGTGTGGCAAACTACACATATCCTTTGTTGATGCAAAGAGTTATGTTGTTTGTATTTTTGTATGATAGTCACGTCTAAAAATGCTCTCAGTAATGATGCTGACTTGATGTTTAAAATGCAACAGTGTAACAGCAGAGGCATGTGGATATACCAGTTTTGTTATGCAGGTAAATTTGAACATTATAACAATGACATTGTAAGATCAATTAATAAATCAATGGAATCAACATCAATCATGGCCATTTTTATTGTATTTTCTGTTATATTACTCCAATTCTTCCTAAGATTATAACTGTGTGCCATGAACGGTCTGCGGATTGGAGATTTTCCAAGTATTCCTTTTGTTTTAAGCAGTCTCTCAATAGGTTTATGATGCAGATGTACAAAGCTGATGATGAAAACTTGAATACTCTGCATGGGCTCAAAGTAGTTTATCTTCACAATGCAAGGACCAGTGTGTTTTTCCAAAGCCAGTCCTCAGTGAAACAAAATAACTGCCCCCGAAACAAAGCATTTCCGCACAAAACAAGACTGGCTATGGTACAAATGTAGCTAGCAATGGCAAGTCATCAACAGAAATGTTGCCGATACCTAGGGTTGATTTCTGTGGCTCTCAAGTCTGGTCTACGTTTCTCCCCAAGAAAAGTTTGAGTTAGCTGTGCAGGCCTCTGTCCTTAGTAGTAGTTCGTAATCATGCCTACATGTAGCTGATAGCAAGCAAGGAAACTTTACAAGTCTACAGGTTTGCTTTTGCCCACCCTCCTACAGTTGTAAGTCCCCACTCATCCATTTTCACTAGCAATAATTTGGATTCTACTGATTAGTGGGTGAATGTGTCAACTGTGATAACCAAACACTGAGTTGATCATTCCAAAGTGCTGAGGTGCTTTGATGATGAAGAGTGGAAAACAAGAAGTGCATGGTTAAGCGGATTGGTAGGCAGCAAACAGCACAGCCCGTGTGTCTGACTTTGTGAATTCAACAGGCAAAAAACTCTGAGAGCACCTTACTTCGACTAAGAAGGGACACCTGTGTTCAATACAGACTCAGTAGTACAGGTATGACTCACAACAAAGCCTAAAAGGAAAACATAACACAACATGCATGTTGACCAGTCTTTATCCTTTAATAAGCTCATACATTGTACATTTTACTAAGTTAAGCTGTCTACATGCAACTTTTAATTGCATTCACCTGCTACAAAACTGAAGACAAAATATACTGGTAGTTCATGTAGCAAGTTGAATCTCATTGTAACTTAAACAAGGCAAAATGACAAAACATACATCACATTGATCAGCAAGCAGCTTTATGGTTACTACAGAAAACTGTCTGTGCATAAGTACACGATCTACATTACTGACCATGGTTAACTTATGCTGTAATATAATAATATTAATACTGAAAAGTACAAGTTCATACAAGCAGCAGAATGAGCTGCAAAATGGAAGTTTGTTTCAACCTCCTGAACATCTCTAATTAACATGGAAGCACTACTGATGATGACAAAATTTTATAATAATTTCCACATTCACTTATATCGACTGTAAATTGTGGCAGTAAGAAACAATAGCCTAGAGTTTTGAAAAATTTGAAGGCTTCTGAAAGTAGTAAGGACAGAAATCAGAGGAATACCACCACAGAAGGGTTTAAACTCAAGCAAATATTTGAAACTAAAATCTTAGTTTTCAAGCACTTGAGAGTTTCTGTCATTCATACAGTCACAGATCATGACTGCAGTAAAGAAAAAAACCTACAGTAATATATTGTATTAACCAGAACACTTCTTAATGAAAATGAAAAAAAAGAAAAAAAGAAAAGAAATGGAAACACTAATTTTACATTAATGTACTGTTCCAGTATTCTGTGCAAGATATATATACAGCACATACTGTAAAAACCTTCAACTTCTACATTTCAGACAATGACAGCTTTTAATCAATAGTGTACGCCATAAAGATGAAATGTGAATTGTCTGGGCACAACTCATGACCTGGTTTCACTGTCTCAAAACCCATGAACATGAAGGTGCGCATCAGGCTTGCTGCAAAAGGAAAAACAGTATCAAAGTTTGTATACCTATTCAGTGGTTACAATGTGGCTAATGTAACTTAGGGAAAGTTTGATTCAAGCCAATACTGGCCAACAGGCTTTAAAGGGTGGCCATACTCTGTGGAGTCTCATATAGAGTGCAAAGGCCTCGCATGCTTGTTTTCCTACCGTACAAGAACATGCAGCTACACCATGTACCCTCAGTGTCTTCTGTGCTTGTGGCGTACTTTACTCCTTCTCTTCCCCCCCCCCTTACCATTGTTATAGTACACTGTAAGTATTACCACTGATTTTGTCAGTGTGACAGTGCCTGCTGGTTGCCACTCTCAGGGTTGCTATGCATACCTGCGTGCTCTGCTAATGGCTGGTATTCTGCCTCCTAAGTTCCCAGGCTCATCATTTGGTCAGGAGTTCAGACTATACTATACAATAATTACAGGCTTAAAAGGGCCAGATGGCTCTGAAACTATGGGAACAGATCAGCATTAAATTTGTTATTCACAACTGAATGAAGTATATTCCCCTCACCTCTGTCTTTTCTATCCTTTAGTAGACCAACAAATACATGGGTGCAATCCAAGTGCTCCTCTGCATACTCAAGTAGTGAAATAAGGCTGCAGGAAAAGAGTAACTTTCATTTAACAAAATGATGTTCAAATGTTGAAAGTTACAGATTAACAATACTATTATTATGAGACAGCTATAAATTGTATCTTGCAGAGTCATCCAGAACTGTGCAACACGCACACAAAGAGTTTTAAATACCATTCTTTGGCTCCAGGGGGAATGTCTCCTTGTGGCACCTCTACGTAGAGCTTTTCATTTTGCAATACAGCCATCCATTCTGCTACGTCATGTTCACCGCTTTTAAGGTGGAAGTTGTACAGTACCGACTTCGATGAAACTGCTTCATCTTTCTCCAAAGCTATTTCTGAATCCTGTAAAGAATAAGCGAACACAAGTACATCTGGTTAACACAACCAAAGACAAAATGGTTTCACTGAATGCTTGATGAACTTGGCAAATCCTAACTAGAAACAAGCTTGAAATTACTTTTTGTACTAACTCACTTTGTACAAATCATAATCCCAAAAGAACTTGTCAAAGCGTCAATGATAACTCCTACAGAAAACATAACTTCATAATACTACATGAAGTCAAGTTGATACCGTACTGATTACTGGCAACTTAATGATAGTAAAGATGTACAATGTAACTTACCCAAAATAGCCCAAGAAAGGATATGTCATCCTCATCATCATCACCCCCACCTCCACCCTCTCCTGAAGATCCTGCCTCATCATAACGGACATCAGGTATACCAGTCCATCCACTGTCGCAGCTTATAATTACAATACACTGCTGGCTCCCTGACGAGTTAAAGTACATATGATACTGACGGACAGGTTGTTTGCAAGCAAAACAAAAACTTACTGTATCCCCAAGGGTATTTACAGGAAATATAATTCCACCAGTTACTGCGGTGACTGGACATAAGGAAGTTATTTGAAACTCAGTATAGTATCAGTAAATTTGGTGTTAGGAGATCTTGCCTTTACTAGAGTGATGAAGAATGTGGTGTAGAAATGACTGCAAATCAGTATCTCCCCAGGAGCATAATTCCATGTAAATGCAATGTCAAAAATAAAAGGTTGTCAAAGTTCTACGTGCACCGAAGTACATGGACATCTACATGTAGGTCATCAGTAGACCGTGTCATTTCATCAAATATAGCCACACTCTGAGCATACAACATCATGCTTTTGAAACACCCACATTCAACACAAAACACACCCTAAATTATGCGTCTGAGGTTTACAGTTTATTTATAGCTTATACTTACTTTAGCTCAATCTTACATAATCATTAACAATTGGTGGTTGATCACACAACTTAACTGCCATGGGCTTGCAACAGAAAAATCTAAGCCTTGTATGAAAATTCCGGATGAAAAATGATCAAACGCGTTTACACGAAAACCGATAATGAAAGATCATTTAAGCTTTAATATGCTGATTGTAAACTTCTCACGTAGAATTATATTATCCAACACGCATGGATGCTAAAACGTTGCAGATACTTCGGGATGATAACTGGCAACACGTCAGTTGTTAAGGGTGGCAGGATAAAATCACTAGTTAACCACTGTCATATAAAACTGAACTATGGATTAATTAACCTTATATTTATAAGGAGTTTTGCAATTAAATCTTTACATACGCACAGGGCTGCTTGGCGAATTTCCCTGGATTGTTCTGATTAGAATTGTGATTTTCCTTCTTCTTGTGCGGCGAAATTGTTACCAAGTCGCTGCCGAAGCAGACTACTGACAATCACGGCAACTATAACACGTCTAAAGGGCAGAAAACTCGAACAACGACCACCGAACTATTCCCTTGCGTCTCGAGGAAAACATGGAAAGATGTCGGTGACCAAGATGTAGCATGCTTTGCGCGCTTTTCTTGTACCCAGTGTCTTTGACCCTCCATTCGTCCAGGACGTTCTCGCAGGCAGAATTCGCGAAAGAGTGCGTAGTTGTAGCAGGGTTAGATCCTGAAACACCCTACTACAATCATCGCAATTTATTTAGTCTCGAAGAGGTTAACGGTAGTTTTCTTGGTAAATTTTGATAACACTAAATAGTGCTAATAGTCACGAAACGTAGCGAAAATTAGCCATGATGGCAATTATTAAATTCTCACCTTGAATATAGCCTGCGTAGCAGGCGTATAAAGGGGAGGGGGTGGGGGAGGAAGAAAAGAATTCGGGGAAGGGAATAATCAAACAAAAACTGCCTACCATATCCAAAATAGTACGTTACGTCACCGGACGACATTATAACGCTCGGAATTCAGACGTCTCTCTCCCGCGCCCCCTCGGGGTAAAGGGAAGAGACGGCTGAAATTCAGACTACTTTTTTTGTCTCAGCTGACGGTCCATCTGAAATGTTTGATTTGATTCATTACAGGGCAAGCTTAAAAAATGTTGTTAGAAATGTGCGTTGAAATATTTGCATTTGTTGTTTCAGGGTTTAGGCTTATGCCCTTGTAGTGGATACGTTTCACAGAATGGACATTGTTTTTGATGACATTAAAACTGCGGAGTTGAAGTTATCAGAGTAGAGCGTTTGCTGCCTAACTACTTGGAACAAACTTTATTTATATCAAGTCTTGTTGCAGCAAAATTAACTATGGTGTTGTTTACTCGATGAAATGTGTTCTTCTCAGTATATGTTACAAATGAGCTTATCATGCTCAGATTCGTCCTTGGTTAGTCTCTGGCAGCTAATCCTAACGCACGAAATGAAACCACTTGAAGCAAAGAAGCTACTCCACGCTAAACTACAACAGACAGGGGTTCAGAAGCTTTACTGGCTATATTCACCAGTACATGTCCGTGACTTCGCTCTCTTTTTCAATTCAAAGGGCAACGGCATTATTTATCTAGATGTTTATTATTTCTACTTTGATTTATTACAGACCTACAAAATGTTATTTCTGTTATTTCTCAGTTTACAGAGAGCCACGACACTCTTTCAAATTTTTCTTTTTAGTAGTATATTACCCATTGCATAGCAGAAGAAAGTGATAAACCTATTTTGCGGAACGATAAATACAAACTGAGAATCGATCGATCAATTCATTGTTCTCTTTAAAAAAAAGTTGCATATGTCTTTTTTTGCCCTTAGCTTAGCATCTGAAAAGCGAGTCTTTCTGGCAAAGTCATCAATTGATACGAATTTAAATGTACATTTATCAAAATCACATTTCATCGTTTATGTTTCAGTAATTACTAAAGAAGACAGAAACTGAGAGCGACAAATCTAACAGTTTAAGTATGACCCACTGATTGATCAATTAACACAAAATATCGATAAAGTTAATTTATTGATGGAGGAACAACAAAACCGTGTAATCCATGGACCCTCTATCTTAACAATGGACTCCTGTCAACTGTGCAGCCAACCAAAGTCTGAGTTTGCCAACTGACCTGTCAGTTATGTTACAAAGCGACACTTTGTAGCTAACTGACTTGAACTGAAATGCCTTGCAATAGACTGTCCCGTGAAGATCAGCTCACAATTTTCTTTATCATGGCTTCGCATTTGATTTGTCATATACTACTTTACTGTTTGAAGACTCCTTGCTATCTTGAATTAGCTTTTCATCAATGGTCTGAAACCTGCATGCAGACATAAAAAAAACATTGAGCGACTGTTAGCACCGGATACCAACATTACACATCTACCTGTTGTTTCAGAGACGCAAAATGAAGACAAAGAAAAATTTACCGTCTTATTTTCGACATCAGGAAATCGCCTTAGCAGTTGATCCAAAACTGATTAGCACAAAAATAATAACTCCGCAGTGAATCATATACAGTTAATAGCTGCTGCGTGAACGAGTGCAACGGAAAATTTTATTAAAACGCTGAAAAACTCAACCAGAGCAAGGAAGGCATCAACAACTACTAAGTGTTTTATCATTCCAATACAAAAATCTTTCGCAA